GCAAACCCAAATCCCACAAAAGGTAACACAGATATTCCTTCCCACTGTCATTATGTAGAATAAAATAGAGCTATCATTGGCAATGTAAGTTAATGTACAAGACTCTTAGGTGTGGTAGCCATGCTTCAGTTAACAGTTCTTCAATTTCCACAAAGTGCAAATGTAACAGGAGGGTAGGAGTACCTAAATAAGCTTTTACAAGCAGATGTGTGATGTACGTATTTTTTGTGAGTTCAGAGCCAGATCAGTGATGAGTTGTGATTCTGACAAGTTATGACCTCTGAACTTCTGTTGACAATCCAGTGACTGGCCTGATCAAGACACAGAAAACTTTTACCCAACAATAAATTTTCTTTGACAGATTCTACTATCCTCCTCTTTCATTTCTGTAACAGGTTGTCCACAATTTAGTTTTCTAAAACCAAATGTTTACTGTTAATGATTGTTACAGGGTTAATGAAGACTGGTTCAGGCATATATATAGTCTTTAAAGTTTCTATTTTCTTTGTAGTGTAACAAAAAGTTAGACTACGATAAAGACAGATTACAAAAACAATTGTTAATACAATATGAACATGCATATTTCAATGAAATTAGCAATCATCATTGTGATGTTTCAAAAATAATGGTGTCAAGAACTTCCTAGAGCCTTTAAGATATGGTGGTTTTGATGATTCTTTTTTTTTTTAGTTTTGTTTTAAAAATCTTAGATATAGAGTACAAGTGGATATTCACAGAATATATTTATTGAACAAACAGTAGGGTGCTTGTATTTTAATGGTAGTTTGCATTAATTTAGTAAGTATATTTAATAATGAAACAATTACTCTTTCAAAGTCTGTCAGATAAGACTTTATCATGTACTTCTGTGGGCTGTTGTATTGTATTTGAATTAAAAGCCAATGGCTTAAATTGCTGTCAAAATAGAAAAGTATATACCTTCAAAAAAATCTCTCAAGCAAATCATAAATAGAAAATCCTTGACCCCAAGAAAAATAAAACATCAGTGCACATTCTATGAATAAAAGAACTTTCCAGTCTCATTGGCATTATTTCAGTTATGATCCATACATTCCCATCCCCAGTCTTCCCTCTGCCTAATCTGCCTAAAAATTCCCATTCAAGTAAGTTCTTCAATTTCTGTCTAATATTTTCTTGAGTCTTTGCAGGTGGCAAGCAATGGATAAAGATGGGGATTGATTTTTTTTCAATGTTGATGAATCAAAATATGTTCTTTCAAAGGGGAAAGTTCAAAAGGAGTTAAACCCCTTGAATATTACATAATATTAAAAACTTACTTAGGATCAGCATATGAGCTATCAACAGGATAGCTACCACTTAGGTTTTGTACATCATGATTTGTTCTGCAGGCAGTGGGAACTCTGGGACTCATTTTATGCCCCTTCTATCCTGTTATGTTTGGGATCAAGTGAGAGTGTAATGGATAAAGAATGCCAAAAGTCTGGAAGATAAGTCACATTTAATACTTCAGAGCTTGTTTGGCATAGGAATTGATACTATCTGTGCTGTAAGAACTGAGCAACTTCTATGCAGTGCTATCAAAGCAGCCTCTAAATGTATTTTGAGTCTTTTTTGCCTTCTAAAATTTCTACCTTGTGTTTTCTTGCTACTTTATTTCCATTATGTAAAATGAAGGTCAAGATCATTCTTGTCAAGTCAGTTTTTAGTACAAAACCCACAATAGAATACTTCTGGTAAAGAAAGCAGATCTGTGGAGAAAGTACATACATATGAGGAGCTGAAAAAGTATGGGAATCCCTGTCAGCTAATGGAAGTGTGTATTTTAAATGGAATATCATTCCCAGAACAAGTTGAATCCCAGTGGAAAAAGGCCTTTAGAGATGAGAAGTCAGCTAGGTAAAATACCACTTGAATTGTACTTCCCATGAAATTTTTATGTGATATGTCTGTCTTAAATCTGTTAAAGATTATGGCATGTATTGGTGCAGTTGGGGGCAGCAGTAAGCACAGCCCCCTGCTCCCCTCTTCCCACAGTCACAGGAAAATTTCTTCTTGGGTGCTAAGAATGAGTAAAGGGAAAAGATGTGGAGGAGCAGGATTGTAGTGGGGCAGTGATGAATTACATGCCAGAAAACTAGAAGAGGCTTCTGAGAGAGGTGTACAATGCCCCCAGCCAGTGAGTGTTTAAGGAGCATTTGGAGAGTCTAGCTGGACTCAATGATCCTTGTAGGTCCCTTCCAACTACAATGTCTGTTCTAGCTCTTGTCTGATCCTGGTTCAAACACCTTCAGCAGCAAACTGGAGATGTGTTAGGGGATCCTGGCCATACATGGAAAATAGCTTAGCATCTCAAAGCCTCCCTGAATCTTGCTGTTTCCTGGATATACAAAGCTTGTTCTGCTATGGGCTAGTGATGCACAGGAAATTCACGAGTCTCAGGATATAATTTTAGTCTGTAGTCAGAATTTTTCCTTTAATGCTAGCAGTAGGTTGTCCATACCAAAAGTAAGCCGTTAAACTAGAAATGGAAAGGTAACAATCTGTAATCTAAACATCTGTTAATCTGTTTTTCAATATTTAACAAATGCACTTTCCAGCTCTCTAGTTCGTAGTTAGTTTTATGGATCTTTCCATTCTTTGTAATCTTCTATTAAAGAGAATAACTTGCCCATATGTCCTAATAGCATTTGATGTCTAAAGTTTCTATGTCCACCTTCTTTCATTGGAATGAAATGCCTGTGGCAGAGAGCTAAGATAACTTGGCAGTTTTAGAATCAATGTTAATAAGCTTTCATATTGCCAATAAGCCATGAATGTTTGTGACTTCATATGCAGTAGTATCAGCAGATGTCTCAATAGATTGACATTGTCACAGTTTTCCGTTGTTTGGATGGTGATTTCACTAAAGGTTTCTAAATGTTAATCAAGCAGATATAGTGTACAGAAAGAAAAAATAATAGGCTAAATAATAATAGTTTCAATTAATTTCAAAGCTAGCCTGTGGATTCCAGTGTTTGCATTCCATAGGGTTCTCCCTATCTGTTAGGAAACAGCATAATTAAAGATTAAAATAATCCTGGTGCTTAACTACAATGTATTATTTTTTAAAAGGAAAAAGGAAAGGGATAAAAAGAAAACCTGAACAAGCAGTTATAATCACTTACTTACGACTCCCTGTGGAGATCTTTAAATGAGATTATGTATTTAGAGTACATCCTCATCTGCTTAGGAGCATCATTCCCTAAATAACAAAAAGCCAAATTATATTACTGCCCAAAACTAAATAGTCACATGACATAGTTTATTGCAGTCAATTCTTTTCTTGTGTTATTTGTACTGCAATATCAACAGTTTGGAAATAGCTAATCATATAAAATCATAGTTTGTAATGTAAAAGGAGTTAGGTAAGGTGGCCATGAGAGAGATGAGGTATATAATGTTGCATTCCAGCAAGAGCTGGTTGCTGCCCTGTTTACTAACACTTGATGGTTTATTTTGAGATTTAACTATTTTCAATAGAAAGTATTTTGTATTAGCAGAGTGTTTCAAATTATCAAAAGAAAATTAAAACTAAGAGTGATCTGGAAAATTCTGTATCACCTGTGATATTAGAAGCTGGCATGATTGTTTGAAAGGATATTATTGAGATGAAAAGTTACTTCTTGATGTCTTTCTGCTTGTAAATGTGAAATATGGTGCTGAGAGTATAAGCTTGTGCAGGACAATAAAAGCATAGTCATAAATGCTTAAAGAAAAGGGCAGAAGTGTCAACAAGGACTTTATATTCTCTCACTTCAGGTGTTTCCCTGAAGGTAAAACATAGTTCTTTAGTAGATGCATCAGGATTATGATTTAAGATGATGTGTCACTGTGGACTCATCAGCTCATTTTCAAAGTGCCTGGAGACATCCCTTCCACTGGAGTTTGTCACAGCATAGTGTCCACCCTATGCAAAGTGCACTGGTAAAAGAAAAGATGTAAAATTTTCCTCTTAATGACAATTTGTCATTTAAATAATGAAACTGCAAGGCTAAAAGGGAGTATCTTTTTTTTGTAAAGATGATTTTGAACATTCCCTTATGTTCAGTTGACAGTTCATCATCATTAAGTTACTTCTACAGTTTAACATGTGAGTCTGAAGTTGAGAGCAGATGTAGCTCTTCTCAAATCTTCTGGTTTCAAAACTATTTTCTTGGAATTTATTAGCAACAGTAATTAGCCATGTGAATTTATCACGTTAGTATGTGGAATCAGAATTATGCTTTATAAATTGCCATTACTGTGAATGGGCTCTAAAGTTGGGGAAAAAGTATGGAGAATTCTAGAAAGATGCAGGTAGGAAATAGGGTGGCACAAGATAAAGTCAGCTGTTCACAAACATTGTAGTAGCCTTTTTCTCATAATTATTTCCGGCTAAGATAATTAATTCTGGGTGTGATTTATTTACCTAGGTTCCTTTATTGTTCTTGATGTGTGACTTATCTCAGAAGGAGGTAACTTTTAGATAGCTTTGCATGTTTTGAAATAGTAGAATGCATAGTCTTTATCCCATACAAATCCCATATATATATATATCTATATAGCAAATTACAACAAGGCATACAGACACTCAGGGTTTTCAAGAATTTTGCAGCATTGTAGGATTCGCTTCTGTAGCTCTGTTTTGAAAAAACAAAGGTTTTATGCTTTAAAATTTTCCAAAAATCCTTTTAGCTTGAAATGAGACTTAGAAAAGATACCACCCTAGGGTTTTTGCAAAGATACATGCAATCTATAGTTTTTCAATATAATTGAAGACAAGGAGCCTGTGTTATAGTATTTACATGTGGGTTTCTCTGTGTATCTTAAGCCATTTGGAGGCAAATCTTTTTTACTTAATCAAAACTGAATAAATATAATTAAATTGAACTTAATGGAGTTTATAGATTTTGTCTATACCATAGGCAATTATATGTTGATATCTTGAAAATTAAAGTATTGTTGGATTTTTGTTTGAATATTTAGTATTTTTCTTTCAGTTGACTGATATGAGCTGCATCCAACAGCCCTTTACTATTTTACCAGCTAAGACAAAATGGAACAATACAAACTTTCATATTCTTTTATTTGACCTGGAAAAACTTGAGGAACTTCTCTCATCTCAACTCAATGGATTAAAGTCATCAAAATCATTCCACAACCAACACGATCTGGAAAGAGTTAAAAGTACTACTGAGAAAAGGGCACTGACATTAAAAAGAAATAAAACTGCTGCCTTTGCACCTCAAGTAGATGGGCAGGCAGAGACTGTTTTTTCAGACCAAGTTCATAGGGATAATACTGCAGCTAAGCCTGTGGAAGAAAGTGGTGGCGCGAAAAGACGGAAAAAAATGAAGAGTTCAAGAAAGATCAGAATGCAGCCATCAGGAAACATCGATGTGAATGTTGCCACTGATACAGTTAAACTGCTTTTGTCATGTCTCCTACCATGGGGTGTAGACAAAGAAATAGACAATCTCTGTGCAAGACACTTGGATATCATGAGGCTTCAGTGTCCTGTTTCTTTTGGACTTATGTCAAATGAAAGCCACCTCTCGCTGATGTTGCCAGGATGGAGATGTACTGATTGTGGTGTGCTAGGAACACATGAAGTTTTCAATTTGTTTTCAAAAAGAGTCCTTGATTTATCAAACAAATACCTTGCTGCAACTGAAGGACAATCTGGAAAGAAGGATGGATCTGAGAATAACGATTATGGAACAAGGGACTTAGAAACAATATTTTTCTTATTTAGCAGAATAGCTTTAATCAGCAGGATACTTAACATACCTTCAGCAGTTACAGATGAAATCGAAAGGTAAGAACTTCTTCATTATAGGTGGATTATATTTTCTAATAATGTCTCTACATCCAAACCCAATTCCTCCTAGTCACACTAATGCACTTGTTTAAACTTTTCTGTCCCAAAAACACATAAAAATGAAACATACTTTAAAACACCAAGCTGATACCTCGATTTCAAAGAACAAGTTACAGTGGAGTAATCTCTAAACATAAAGTATTAAATTGGTATTATTCCCGCCCCAAACCTTACCTCTGAAGAACTTATTAGAAAACACAAACTCAGTCAATATATTTTTGAGAAGAGGATCTTCACCAAGTATGTCTCCATACTTTCAGCTTTTGAGCTCCTTCTGTATCACCCTGAGATTAGGTCAGCTGGTCAGGGCATAGTGCTAATATCACTGAGGCTGTGGGCTCAATCCCTATATGGGCCATTCACTCAAGAGTTGGGCTTAATGGTTGGTCCTTCCAACTAAGAATATTCTGAGTCTTCTCTTCCTTTGTAGTGGTTAAAAAATGAAAAATGAAACAAACTTTTCTTAAATATGTACTTCTTTAATGGAGCTTATGTTCTTTGAAGAAAAGGAGGTCAGATATAATTATCATTACATTTTTTGGTTTAGCAGATGAGAATTGATGCAAGAAATTTTTCATAAGAACAAGAACTGGAATTACCCAGCCTCACACCCAGTTTTTCCAGAGACCACTCTTTTCCTTGCAGTTCAAATGAAGTAGAATAATGAGTTCTCTTTAGGCACATAGTTAGATGTACATTAAGCACATTTGTGCTGTTTAAACTTCCATTCCCTTTAAGCAATATAAATCCTTTGCCATGGAACCTTTGACTTCACAGATAAATAAAACATAAGAGACAAGAATAGTCTGCCCTAGTTATACTATGTGAAGTACAGTGCCCCCAGTAACGATGGCAGCTACTGGGAATGAATGCCTCATCAGCCTTTATGTTGTGAGGACCATCCCAAACAGCATTTATGTTACTCAAAGCAAGTTTATTGACTAAATGCTTTTTCAGCATTAAAGGAAAAATAATGTGCTCAACATTATTTGACCAAGCCAAATAGAGCATGCTAATCAGGCAATGGATATTGTCCACGGATTTTTTGTTGTTTGGCAAACATAGTGTTGGTCTGTATTTAGTTTTTTAGGGACAATTAGCTTCAGTGTCGGTGATGCTATGGCCCCAAGGCAAGAAGGGGGGGCAGAAAATATTGATCTTGCAGCAAATATCTGCATCTCCCACAAAGCTCTAGGCATTCAGCATCTCTCAAGACATGTGCACCAACCCACAGGACAAATGCACATTTCTCAGTTACTTTTGTTGCTAATCCTGTTGCCTATTGGTCCATGTTCAATACAATCTCTTATATGAACACTTGTCTCAGGATTCCAGCTTGAATGTGAATTCCTTTCCAGGCAAAAGAGTATTTTATGCTTGCCTTGTGCAGTGCTCTTTTGGAAAGACATTGTGTAATTGAAATTAATTAGTGTACCAGAATCAAACATTTTTGTCAGATGTGCACATCCTGTCTTTGGGACATATACCCTGTAAAATGATAAGTATTAAAGTTGCTGCAAGGAAAAACAAGTCCTTTTTTTTTTTTTTAATAGTGCTATATAATTTTAAGTTTTCTCTAGGATATGTAAAGACCTAAACCCTACCATCTTTAACAAATATTATTTTGGCGAGTTTTGCTTCAAAAAGTACAGTGTGCAGCCAAAATTCTTTGGACAGTTGCTTTATCCAAAACTGCAGTATGCTCAAGGGAAAAGAAACCTACATACTGAATTCTAATTCACCACAGTAGTTGCAGAAGTAGTTAGTAGGGCAGCTCTCACAGTTGCACAGGTTCTGGTGTCTATCTGTTGTTTTTTTGCAACTTGACACAGCCTGTGAAAATAAAGGAACCTGCAGCAAAATGTGTCAGATCATAAAAGTGGGACAGAACAGGAAGAAGCTGGGAAGAAAAGATCTTCAAAGAATTTTTCTCGGAGTTGTTTGGTATTGTAAAGTCTTTTGAAACGGTTTGACTCACTGTTCATTGTAGTGAATTTGAAAGGGAAACATATCGTTTTTAAAATGACATATAAATGTAGTTTTTGCAGGTCGCTATAGTGACTTATTTAAAAGAAATTGTGCAAGGGTTTGGAGTGGGTTTTTTTCACTTTCTTTCTCCACTGTCCATATCCTTTGTTTTCAAGGGTTAGGTTGCTGAGTTCGTGACTCAGAAAGAGCAAGCATATGTACACACTAGTCTCTTAAATTGTATCCATCCACTGAAATCCCAAGTATTGTAATGATACTCTAAATTATTTAACACTGTGGGGGGAAAAAAAAGGAAACCTATAAAAAGAGGCTTTTAGTTTCCCTTGAACTTTTGTCCTGTGTATTAGAAAAAAACCCAGACAAATTCTTTTGTGAAAATGGTATTTTCCAGTTCTTTACATATTATTTTCTTTCTTTATTGCAAAATAAAGCTTCACATTTGGCTCAAAGCTTATTAGGCTTAAGTTCCTGCATTTAGATGGTACTTTTCAGTCTTGCATATTTGTGAATGTTTCAATACCAAGTTTTAGGAAAAAAGAAGGCAAGTGATTTCTGAGGACAAACTTAATTGGGGTTGATAATTGATAGTAGAGTACCTGCTGTAAAAAGACCTGCAACCCTACCTTAATACAAAAGATTTTTCATATGTGTGTTCAGGTTTTGTTTAATAGTTTCATATTCTTTTAGTCCACAGAAACCAGAATCTGTACATGATAAATGGCAAAATGTAGAAGGAATAACACTTTCATGCCCCAATTTTTATGGAGACTTACCAAGCAGTAAGTATGTGAATTGGCAGTATTAACTTTTAAGTATTCTGGTTTTGCATGCTTTTTGTTGCTAACATAGAGAGTTTAATTTCTATAATGATTAAAAAATGTTTCTGTTTATGCTGTCCAATCTGCAAACAGAGAAACTGAATTACTCTGTTTCTTCTGTGAATATCATGAAAAATGTGTAAACAAAGTGTTAACTGGAATCAATGATATTTTTCCTGCTATGACAAGACATTTAGCTGAGTTTCTAAAGACACTTTCCAACAATCAGAAAAACAGCAATGTAATAAGACAAACACTGCCCTCACCCCCTTCCCCCATCTCCCTCATCACCATTATGTGCCCACCCAATAATATATACAGCCCTCCAAGCAAACTGTTGCCTTAGTAATACAAGAACCATCCTGACTGTTCAATAATGCCTTTAGACTTCTGGCTCAGGGCAGAATAAAGTAATCTGTTCCTGTTAATGTCCCACAGGCCATCGCTCGTCAATCTTGCCTTTGCAAGCCACCCTTGGTTTGTTTACAGTATGTAACTAATCAAAGAACATTTAAATAAAAACCTAGACAGAATATGGACATTTGTCAGTACACGTTATGTGACAAATATAGTGTTCCTCTTTCAGAATAAGCCATGTCTAGACTGAAAACACATATTCTTTTACATCAAATCCTGACGCTGTGCTGTGTAGGCAAACCTTAATATCCCCATCAAAAATTAGTTACCTTTCCTTCTCTGAGTCTAATACTGTACAACTGTAGGACTTGCAATGACAGTAAAAATGTCCATTGGAAAAAAGAGATGGAACATAAAATCAAGTGACCATAAAAAATAAGTAGGAGAATGGCATGGAAATGGTGACTAAAATGTTCATTAACAGAAAAATAGATTTACTGAGTGACCTAAAAATTCTAGGTAATCTAAGTCATATGCCATATCTCCTAGTTCATACAGTTGTTCAGATTTACAAATTAAAATCTCATGTGAGACTTGCAGATCTTGGGGATTCTAGGAACAGCCTGTTCTTTAGTGTCAAGGACACGCTGGACAGCAGAACAGGGAATGCATAGTTAAGTCATCCAAAACAAAAAGTATTCTTAATATATTTAGAAATTTGTAATGAAAGAGTACTCCATGGGATATCAGTTCTCTGTTTAAAAAATAAACAAAAAGAACAGAAAAAAACCAAAAAACCCAACACTAGTTTAATTTAGGATGAGAATAAATGATAAAGCAATAGATTGTCTGAACACCTTGTGTTTATTGTATCAGATGAGAGGACGTTCTTAGAAATTGCCTTTTTCCCATCTTTTCAGGTATGCGGCTGAAATGAAAATTTTAAAATGTTGAAATGTTTTTCTGTTTGTGTTCTGCTCTATATATTGTCAGTTCGTGAACTATACATGTGTTTTTCAGGTAAGAGCAGATATTCCCCAGACTTTGGGAGCATTTCTTTGCTGAAACTCATTAGTTGTTGGAATGACCAATCTGTAAAGGTAGGAAATAGCCTGTGTCAGTTGTAGTAATGTAATCCTTAAGTACCATTTGCTGTAATTTAGTATTTGGAATCAGCAGTGTGACCTAATAGTTATAATTTATGGGGAAACTATTACATAAGTCATGCCATTCAGGTCTGTGGAAAGCAGATTAGTATTACAGTATGAAGTATGCCACTCATTAAACTATTTAGCCTTAAAGTAAATGTTTAGATGTGACAAAGAACTCTCCTACTAATGGTTCATCTCCATTCTCTTGTTCATAGCATTTATTTAAGAAATGAGTTATTTTTTCTCTAACCACGTGTAACTTACATCAAAAATGCTGGTTTTGGCTCCAGGAAAACAAAAGGGCAAAATAAGGACAGTGTCCTATATTAATGTATTATTATGAAAGAAACTGAGAAAGCCTTAGTGAAGGGCAAAAATCCTGAGTATTTAATTATTACAACAGTCTTTAAGAATAACTTACAAGTCATGTAATAATGGGTTCTTCAGGTCAGATGATGCTCATCCCTATTATTAGTGGATAATCTGAAGTCTTGAGAGATAAATAATTTTTTGAGAGTTGACAAGCAGTGGTGAAAAAATCTAAGCAGTGAAATCTAGAGACCATTTTTCATTTTGGGAATATGTATTTAAATAAAGTTGTCTAGTTGTTTAAGTGAGTTAATGTTCAGGGATAAAAAACTCAAAAATGTTATACTCTGGCCATAATGGATTTTATTCCAGAAAGGGGAAAATACTTGTTACAAATCTAGTTTATGATATTACTTTTGAAATTGAATTCAACTCTCTGCTACTTCAAATGCAAAGAATATTTTCCACAGCTGAGTTTTACCAGGATGCTGCAGTAATAGTCCCCTGTTCTGTTAGACAAAAATAGTTTCTGCAAATATTTACTTTCAATTGATTCCAGCATTTCTCTTGAGCTTATCAGTTGTTTATTGTATTCCTCCTGTCTGCATATCTTCCATATTATTTCTGAATTGTTTTGCTCTCCCCTTTCTCTTAAAGTAAGAGATTTTCCTTTTCTTTTGAAACCTCAATAACTGCAATTGTCATGTGGAATGCATGTAATCTCTTGCTCACCTGGTCAGCCACTGAAACTCTTTAGAGAGTAGTTCATACATTTATGGAAGTTGTGTTTGTAGCATACCTGTGTATGTGAGATCTAGGTATTTTTATTTTTGAGTGTATTTAGCAACTGATCAGTATATACATTGATATTTGTCTCATCTAGCACATGAGGTTAGTGTGCTGGAAGATAAGGTATGGAATGAGCTACCCCACGTTTTTTTGCCTAAAAAGCCTTGAAATTTAAGACACTGAAATTATCAAGTACTGCAAACATCATGCTCTCAATGCTTCTCAAATTTTAACGTTATTCAGCATTGTAGCTGCACTGAGCTTTGTTAACCCACTTAGTAGCACAGATTTTGGATTGCTTGCCACCAAAGTGCCATAAAACTTTTAAGATTCAAAAAAAAATAAGATGTTAGCAGTAGATATGATATTTAGTGACCAGTAGTTTATACAAAATTATAGCTTTTGTTGACAATAAGATGGTTTTGTTAAAATTTTATTTATGGAATCACAGTTTAATGGCCAATTTATTAATCCTGAGCAGTCTGATTAAGCACTCATGTACATTTACTGAAAACATCACTATTTAGGCTGTGTTTAAAAATTTTTCTATTGTGATTTCCATGAAGAATACTGATTCTCGTAGGTCGACATAGTAGTCTATTACTATATATTTACTATATACTATATATTACTATTGTATACTTCCTCAGTCAAAGAAGCAGCATAATTTGTCACATTTGATAATCCCAAGTAAAAAACACCTCGTATTTTCAACAGCAATTACAATAATCCCTATTATTGTAAAAATTGAAAGGAAATGTAGCCAATAAGCTAGCTAATTTATATCCAGAAGGACACTAAAGATAAAGTGGAAATGATCAGAGAAAATGAGAGATGCTCATGTTGATTTGTTATGTGTTAGAAACAGGAAAATCTACTGGCGATTGTTAAACTTGGTGATAAGGATAGATGAGGTATATAAATTTTGGGGTAAGATTCCATGAGAAGACGAAGCTAAACGTGAAGCCACCACACCAAGCACTGTGGAAATGAAGATACAATAAAGACAACTTCCAGTCAAGTAACACGCAGAGACATCTACAGGTGCCTCTACAATAACACCACGTTGTGTTATTTGTTACAGTTTTTTTTAAATTCAAGATGTTAGAGGAAGTTATTGCCAAGGCTGCCCGGCACGCACAGCAGTGATACAAGTAAAGAGCATCTGATCCAGATTAGTGACAGGCTCTTAGCAGATTTCTTTTGTGTATCTCTGTAAGAATTGTTTTGTCAAAAATTTCCTCAGGACAATGAAAACATGTCCGTGTTTCCTTCTCTTTCTTAATTATTGTAGATATATTGTAAGAGTCTGCTGCAAAGTCAGGATCTGTAATCCCCAAAGCTCAGGGCTGTATAGATTGAGGAACTGGAAAGTGCCTTTGGTGTTCTTGTAAAATAAGGTTCTATTATAACAAGATGAAGGTTTGTGCAATGTTGAACCACACAGGGCTGGGTTCACTTGCAGTGAACTTTTACATTGTGGACCTGACTGTGGTGTATTTGTATACAATAAAGGATTTTGTCACAAAGGACACCCACAGCCTTTGTTCCACTAAATGATTTGAATTTACAAGGGCAGTTAGAGATATTTTTGAAGACTGGTACTTGATTAGTGAGAGAAATGATCTCTCTTTCAGGCAGTTTGATGGATCCTGCATATCAACTTCTATTCATGTGAAACTTAAAATAATTTTAATAGCTTTTTTATAATATAAATAGTGTAGAAGCTTGAAACTTTTGTAATAAAATATACTAAAGTTTTTGCATTCAATTTAAATTCATATTTAAGTTGTGGTTGAAACCTTAGATTCACCCTGTTTTTAAGGAAAGTTCTTGTACTTGAGAATTAATTTTTCTCATTTGGGGAGGTATTATCTTCTTTTTCTGAAGGAAATATCAAATGCAGAGAAGATACACCATGATGAAATTTAGACTAAAAATTACAAAGGTTTGGGCTCTTTTCTAAGGCCTTCATGTGCTTTATAAGTGTCTTTACATCTTTAAATGTTCTTACTTCTTATAGCACCATTTTGCTAAAGAGAAAGTATGAACTCTGTGAGACAGTCTCCACACTTCATTTTCTTAATGCCCACATGAAGTGCATCAGCTACCCCAAGTGCCCAAGGCTGCTCACAACTCCAGTAGATGTTCTTTTGCATAAGAGGAGTTTGAGGAATGGTATTTCTGTGTTAGACAAAAAATACAGGGGTATTATGTTTGAGCTAGAGGAATAGAGTATCACTACTAATAACAAAACACTTTAATTTTATCAGAGAGATTAGATGCCAGAAATTCTAAAAAAAGTCACCCCAAGACAACAAGATCATTATTCATTCAGTCTATCAAGCATTTTTGCACACATGAGGAAAAAAGTATGAAGATACTTATTAGCTGTCATCACCTTGTGCTTTACTAGCATATTTTGTTAGTAATTGTTTATCTGTGAAATCAAGGAGGCAATAGGTTACTGATTCTAGGTTTGACATTAAAGAAAATGAATGTTTATTGGGAAGCAGTCCTGACTGACAACTTACACTATTTTATTGCTATCTAGTTAGCTTTTTTTCTCATTGTGTGTATAGAGACACATGATTCTCACTGTCTGGAAGACTTATTAATAAGTGTCAACTTTCTAATGACATTCACCAGGACAGTCTCCAGATTTTGTGCTAGTTGGTTAAAATTGTCAAATACTTAGATAAATAGTTGAGGTACTGATACCATCCAATAATAATTTGCATTTATGACAGATTGTTGAGGCAATGCAAGCAGTGCTGCTGGCAGAAGTTCAAAGGACTATTAATCCCTTGAGAAAGATGGCAATTTGCAGAGAGCCATTGGCCATAGTAGAGAATGGAAATGGTAAGTTTTGGACACTGCCAAAGACTGAGAGGGATTTGCAATATGTTAAAAATAATAGAATGGTTTGGGTTGGAAAGGACCTTAAAAATCATCTAGTTCTAACTGCCTGCCGTGCACAGGGTCATCTTCCACTTGACCAAGGTGCTTAGGGCTTCGTGCAGCCTGGCCTTGAGCACTCCCAGGGATGGGCCATCCACAGCTTCAGGTGACCTGCTTCAGTCTCACCACCTTTGCAATAAAGAATTTCTTCCTTATATTTAAGCTAAATCTCTCCTCTTTCAGTTTAATACATTACTCCTTGTTCTCTCACTACATGACTGTGTAAAATGTCCCTCAGAAAATTTTCTTTGCCTTGTACATGGAAAATCTGTTGGCATATTATTTTAAAAGAACTTCCTCTAGTAATCAGAACAAGCTGGGAGTATGAATTCACAATACTTTATTTCTGTGTGAGACAGGCCAAATGTTCTATATCTAACCTTACCAGGCTAGGAGTTTTCTCATATGATTGTCAAGGAGTTAAAGGACTTTCACACTCTCTTGTCACCTCTGAATACTAAAGAAGAAAAGGTAAAGTTTCTTTGATTGTATAATAGGTCTGGTATTTGCAAATAAAAGAAGCACTGTAGTTGAAATAGAATCAATAAATCATATTGGAAAGAAGTTTTAGAAATCTGTCTTTCCAATGACATCAGACCTTACACAGCTCTAAAAATTAATTGCTTAAATTTTATAACTTCATAATGTAATACAGAATATTTTATTTTTCTTTTAGAAATAACCTCCCTGAAAGGAGATATCAAATGCATTTTACAATTAGATCATTTCATTTTACAAGAAGCTTACTCTTTGCAACTTTACAATGGTGCTAATGTTTATGGTAAAAAAGATTGAACCTGAATTTATGTTATGAAGTTATACTCTTTTTTTTTTTTTTTAGCCCATTAGCTGAGTCTTAAAATTAAGTGACCTAAATTTTAGATCCAATCTTATTAGTGAGCCTTCACTTGGGAAACTAATTTATTATCTCATTGAGTGTGTGTGTCTGTCATGAAAATTTGTTACCAATATCCTTGTTCCAGCATACTAAAAATGATCAGTGATACTTGCTTCAGGCCACAATACAAAGAAGTATCTCTATAATTTAGAAATACAAAGCACTTTCAATGATTGTCATGTATGAGTTTATACTTTGCTTACATTGAAGATTCTTTGAATAATTTTGTTTATGTGGTTTGGCTCAAGGTGCATTCTAACTAAAGCAACCCCAGCTGTAGAGTTAATGTGTGGACTTAATTTTCACTTTTCTGAATTTTCAGGGTGTGTTTCAATTAAGTATTTTGACATTTACAGCTAAAATGCAACTAACTGAACGTTTCAAATGCAGATGTCTCAAACTCCAAGTGTGTTTAGATCTTTGGGTTTATTTCAAAAACTATATTCTATACTAGATGAAAAAAGCATTTCTGTTACATAAAATGTGCTGATATGATTCTAGTAGTCAATTGATGTTTAATTCTAATTAAGTCTTTAAAAAGTTATGAATTCAGGGGAGTTAGTTCTACTCTCTGAAAGGGGGATTGGTCTGTATGTCTAGTAACAGAAGGTTTTTACTGTCATTTTTTTTTTAACCTAGTTTTTTGATGGTTACTCAAAAAACAACTAGAAAATTGTTTTACTAGGAGAACCATATGCATAAGCATTTCTACTGGCTATGACTTTTTCATGCTCCATGATTTGAACTACATAAATACATACTGTAAAGAAAAGTGGATTTTTTAATATATTCAGAATGTAAGGTAGTCTGAAAGAGGCAGGCAGAAAACATACAGATTGATTGGAAAAGAGATTTTGGACTGTATTTATTATTATATTAGTTTTCTTTTTGTTTTCATTTCCACTCATGCTTGTTGCATTATTTCTCACGGTATGTAAATAGCAGAAGTATTATTGTTTTGGCTTGTATGGTTTTGTCATATGTATTGTAAAACTTGGTAAGTTCATAGAGAGTTGAAAAAAATCATTTTGTGATTTCTAATATATGAAAGAGTATAACTATTTTTGGCTTGTAATGATACGCAGAAATTATTAAAATCTCATGCAGGAGCAAGTCCACCACCAGTGTAATTGTTAAGACAAGTGATTATATCAGATTTAGTAATTTTTCTGATAGTTATGTAATAGTTTATTAAATATTCTGTATGGGTTGTACAGTAGTTGGTGTCTTGTGCAAATCAGGATAAAGGTTAAATATTGTTTTGGGTTTTTAAGTTATAATTGAAGACTGGCTTTGTGCCCTCTGATCCAAAGTAAAAGAATCTGAATCTTGGCTGCCATCATTATTGCACTGTATTGCATTTTTCTTTAATTAGAAATAATAGATTAGATCTAGAGATATTTAATCTTATTTAACTCAACAAATTTCCACTGATGTGAATAGAAGTTTGAGGTGGTTTTTTTTTTAAATACAAACTTAGAATTTGCCATTCGGTTTTAGTCTTTAACGTTTATAGTATATTATATAATTTTTTTTTTTTTGTCAGAAAGGTCCTTACTCCTTTGAAGCTCCTACATCCTTACTTCATGGTTAAGGGTGATCAGATGTAGACAACAGCTTCACTTGATGAATAATTTAAAATGCCATCTTTTTCTGTGGTTCCATACAGACAGAATTGCTTATTTGGATAAAAACCTCAAGCAAACAAAACCAACAACAAAACCAAAAGAAAAAAACCAAGTTACCAAACTCACATTTCTCCAGAAACCAAAATAAGGAATTTTAAAAAACCCCAAACTGTGCACGTAAAGCATGCCAGAGAAAGGGTTAACTCTGGTCTGTCCTAGTACCTTCTTCCATTGTTGCTAAAAGGAAATATAAATGCAAACAGCTGCAATTTCGTTATGTTAATGTCAGAGATAATAATTTTGGACCTGTTCCAAACATATTGATAGCAATCTTACTATTGATTTCTGCAGGATTTTCTTCAGTTCTTCAAAGAAGCTTAGGTTTTCCCTAATTTTTTTGCAATTAATCATAATTCCGAAAAAGTATATTGGACTTTATCCCTTCTTGTTTTTTCTACACACCAATAATCTCAGGTTAATAGTACCATTTAACAGGTTGTCAGTGTGGTCTTGTTTGCCACTTCTCACGTGAGTCAGAGGCAGTGATTTTTCAAGTCTTGAAAATTTATTTGTCCACTTTTATATCCACTTAGCATAGAGCTAAGAGGAACTATGCTGGCATTCATTTTTCATTTGTAGTGTTTGATCTTATGACATACATACCTAACCCATATCCAGTCACGTGCAGAACTTCTTTGATCAGAGGAAGTGTGTGGATAATACCACTGTTGCCATTCCCTAGCCTGGTGGATTGGACACAAAGAAATTGGATAGTCCCTCTTGGAGAATGTCTGAACCTGTGTCTTTCTCAGTGGTAACTCATTGCTTATCCTCAGGGCATTCAGCAATGAGCCATCTACAGAAATATTTTCCTTTTTCATGGAAATATCAAAATATTTGCATGGATAAGTCCTAGAAATGAGATTCTCTCACCTCCAGTTGCATTTTGTCTCTAGGACTGCAATCTCCCAATAACTACTGCACTGAAGCAGCTTCCCATGTGCCATCCTTTGATGCCTGTTTCTTCTAATGCAGAGGGAGCCAAAAATTTCTTATCTGGAACAGCATCACAGCATTCCAGTTTTCTGGAATTGCGTGCCTCCTTTTTTTTGTAAAATGTGTGGAACTGGATTTATTTACCTTTTAAGAAAATTGTGAAGATAAATGTGTTTAAGAACTTAATACTCAGATAATAAATTGAAGAAATTATGCATGTGATATTCCAGGAATGCCAAAAACTGCAAACATGGAAGGACAGCAAAGTACAGGCTTTATTCCTAAATACAGCATGATACTTTAACTGCCTCTGGTATTTGTGAAAAAATGAAATGTGAAAAATCACAACACGAAGACTAGTTTGCAATAAATTCTGGCTTGCACTTAAAAATTTCTAGTTTAAGCAACTGTTAATGATTCAAGCTTTTAAGTATATTTGAAAGCTATTAGCTATAACCTCATCTTTTGTATGTGGTTTTGGAGACCTTTAAACTGTTCAATTAAATAAATTGGTTCTTGCAGGAAAAAAGCTTCTGCTGATAAATACCAGAGTAAAATTAATGGTGGCAATTGAATTCCATAGGTTAGTGTAAAGAATTGTCAAAGACTTATCTAGAATATAACAATATGTTTTGTTAAAATGAGGAATCCGTTCAGTAATGGTAAATCAATGAAAGGAGGGATATAACCCCTCCTGCTCACTAGAGATGAACAGTGACCTGCGGCACAGGGCTTTGAACACTTCCATTGTCAGGGTTTCAGAAATCTGTCCAGTTGCAGACGACTTTTTTATGTCAGCTCCTAGGAAGTAATTCTATGTCTATCTTTCTATATAGCAAATGAAACTCCTTGCCTGCTTGCTAAGTCTGAAGGTTTTGTCAAGAAAGTGCAGCCAAAGAGAAGGGTTGTTCTGATATATCTGTTATATTCTTTCATTGTCATCCTGTTACAACCTACTGCCTTTTCGTATTAGTCCAGATATACATTCTGACTCTGTATTTAAGCAAAGACCCAAAAGATAATCCTGACTTGGAGCATTAGCCCGTTTGGATCACTGACACCAACAAAGGTTACACAAGATTTTAGTGAAAACTTCTGTTGCCTGACTACTGGGGAAGTAACTTTTTGGGGTGTAAATGCATTGACACTTTTTTACTATAGGCACATTCACATAATTTATATTGTTTGTGTTCTGGTGAGATACCAAATGCCCAGAAAACTCCAACAGAATCTGAGGAATCAGTTTTTGGTCTAACACTTTGCATTCAGATAAACGTACATCTGTCCTCATGTCCTTACATCACCCTTACTATGTTTCAAGTTTGGATTTGGGCTGATGATTTATGTAATGTATTCAATCTTTGAACTGCTTGCCTTGC